GGAATATCGGATAACACCCATATGAACCAGGCTTTTATTGTTAGCAACACAAATCCTGTTGAAACAAAGACTTGCCAAAAGCCGAGAATAAACCCATCATTCATGCAAGATGCTGTTGATGAGCCGTGGACATTAGCTTTCGAACTGCGTTGTGTTTCTGCGGGTATGATGTGACCTTAAAAACGTTATTCAGGGCTCCGATAGTGCTAGAAGTACATTGGAGTGTACACAATCAAGTTATTAGAAGACACGCTCAGGTGCTTCGACCAATACTGTCAGACTAAGGAATTCAACCTTTTTGGTTCTATCATATTCAACAGCACTCAAACATAAACCCTAAGCCCAAACCGAGAATTCCGAAACTAGAGCCGTGAGCCACTGGAGGGTTCCGTGTTCAGGGGTTGGGGGTTTAAACCCTGGACCTTGCGGGGGCCCCCTCAAACCTAAACCCTAAACCCCTAAACCCTAAACCTTGAACCCCTAAACCCTAAAACCTAAGTATAGGGGCGTGGGATAGGCGCCATAATAGCTGGTGCAGTTTGTTTGTTTAGGGTTTGGACAGAATGCCGTCCCTGGCTATTTGGAGGCAGCGTCACGGATTGGCTTTTCGTCGAACGACGAGGGGGTTCAAGAGGGTGCTTGACGATTTTGATCTCATGTGCGCCCGGAGCAAGGAAGGCACGTTGGTGACGTCCGACGTGACAGCCTTGCCCTCTCTTGGCTGGCTATCACGCGACGTTGTGCAAGAGCAAGCCTTGCCAAAGAATTGTCAACGCAGCGATGGCCTTTCGCTTATGTCGAGGCCGACCCTATGTATTTGGTCGACCGTGTCCTCCACAGGCAGGCAGGACACGACGTATGCCAAACAGGCTCGGCGCTCACCAGTGACGTTGACGACAGAGCAAGAGCCATTGACACGATCCTGAAGGAAGGCGTCGTGATTGATGGTGAAGTCAGAAAGCTTGACCCGGCTTGGCAGAGTCCTCTTGTTGAGCGTGACATCAGACGCTTCGCCTGGCACGAGGGTTTGGGGGTTCAGGGTTTAGGGTTTAAGGTGCTTAAGAATTGTGCGTTGGAACGTCTTGCATAGCGTGCATAGCGGTCGTTCTCGAAATTAGGATCCCGTTTAGGGTCCTTTTTTTTTTAAATAAATGTGCCGTAGTATTTTGGGGATCTAAAAAGGGACCACTTGTTAGAGAGCTGCCCTTATGTTACCCTTATAGAATCCTTATAGAATCCCTTATAGATCCTTTTAAGGACCCCTACCACGGGGACCCAAATTTAGAGAACTCCCCATAGAAGTGGACTGTTTCAAATTATATGCCCCCTTGAAGCCTGCTTCTCGAAACCTGTACTCCCAACGGTTTAGGGCTTAGGGTGTAGGGTTCAGGTTTTAGAGGGTTTAGGGTTGCAGGGTTTAGGGATAAAAAGCTTAAATTTATTAACTAATGACCAATATGATTCCTTGAAGTTCCTTACTATTACTACACTATAAGGGAGGCCAAACCCCATTTCGACTATAAAACAGGACTCGACATGACTCCTAAACCCTAAACCCAAAACCCCAAACCCTAAGCCCTAAACCCTAAGCCCTAAGCCCCAAGCCCTAAGCCCTAAACCCTAACCCCTATAAACCCTATAAACCCTATAAACCCTAAACCCTAAGCCCTAAACCCTAACCCCTAACCCCTATAAACCCTATAAACCCTAAACCCCAAGCCCTAAACCCTAAGCCCTAAACCCTAAACCCCAAACCCTAAACCCCTAACCTCCCACTCGAGACTCGAACGCCCAAGCCCCTTCGAGCACGAAATCCTTCGACTCAAGTGCCACAGCCCGACACCCGAAGCCTCAAGCCCTACCTTAAGAACCCAAAACCTACTTTTGTTGTAGGGTCCCTATAAATCCTGTATTAGGGTTTATAGTAAGAACCTACAAAAAAGTGGGTTTTGGGTTCTCAAGGTAAACCCCAAACACTAGAACTCAAACCCCGCAGCCCAAAACCTACACCCCAAAACCCTAAACCCGAAACCCTGAATAAGAGTTTTGAACTCTTACACCCCAAGCCGGGTCTAAATTCCACATGGATCTAACCCTAAACCCTAAACGCCCTAAACCCTAAACCCTAAAAGCCTTAAAAGCCCTTAGCCCCAAACCCTAAAAGCCCTAAAAGCCTTAAACCCTAGCAACCCTAAAAGCTCTAAACCCGGAAAGCCCTAAACCCTAAACCTTAAAAGCCCTAAAAGCCTTAAACCCTAAAAACCTAAAAGCCCTTAACCCTAAACCCTAAAAGCCCCAAGCCCTTAACCCTAAAAGCCGCCTTAAGAGCCTTAAACGGCTTAAAAGCCCTAAAAGCCCTAAACCCAAAGATAAGCTAAAAGTAAGCAAAGAACCCGGCCCAACTTGGAGGTTCATGGGTAGTTAGAAGTGGGGGTATAAGTCCCCTAATTATTTTGGGTTGCAGGTAAAGCTACCCTACTTATAACCCCACTTATAACTACCCATGAACCTCCAATTAGGGTCCCTGCATTAACCCTAAATCCTAAACCCTAAATCCTAAACCCTACACCCTAAACCCCAAACCCTCAACCCTAAACTCTAACCTTCCGAACCTCCAAGTATGAGGCCGCTGTCATGGTCTCGCCTTTTTGGGCTTTTGCCCTGGCGCTCCAAGTGGGCCTGGTAGAGGCCCAGTGCCTTTAGGGTTTAGGGGTTTAGGGGTGTAGGGTTTAGGGTTTAGGGTTTAGGGGTTTAGGGGCGTAGGATTTAGGAAGTTTAGGATTTATGGGTTTAGGGTTGAGGGTTTAGGGGTTCAGGGTTTTCTGGTGGGTTGATAGTAGCTTTTATAAAGGCCATCCCAGACCGTTTGTTGGTTGAGGGTTTAGGGTCATTTTGGGGCACATCTTGGGCTTAGAAAGTTCCGTAAGGATTGTATAGCGTAAGTGTAGGGTAGAGGCGCAGGGCCTTTTCTGATGGGTTCATAGTGTTTCTATGGATTTCATAAGGGTGTTATAAAGGGCTCCAGGATTCCATCAGGGTTACTATAAGGGTGGTTGTAGGGTAGAGGCCCGGGCATTTGTTGGTGGCTGCTATGGGGTCTTATCGGTTTTGTGGAAGGTTCTATGTGGCTTGTGGTTTAGAGTTCGGGGTTCTAGGTTGGTCGGTGCCCTTTTTAATGTTTGAACGTTTTAGGGTTTAGGCTTTGTAGGAGGAGTTTTCGACGAGTTCTAGAAGGTTTCATTGTGTTGGGGTAGGGGTTGTTTTGGAGGGTTAGGCGTCTTGATTGATGCATGTAGACATGTAGAGGCTTACAGTGGGTTTTAATGTGGTTTCTACAGGGGGTTATAGGGTTTTGCAAGGTCTTTGTAGGGGTGTGCACGGTTTAGGATTTAGGCAGTGTCTGCAGTAGGATGGAGGTGGAATAAGAAGCACAAGGGTTCTATAGGGATGTCTAGGGTATTTCAGGGTTCCTTTGAGACTTTAGAGTTCGGGTTGCCGGGAGGAGTGGTTTCTAGTTTAGGGTTTAGGGTTTTGGGTTAGGGTTTAGGGTTTAGGGTTCCGGGGTTTAGGGTTTAGGGTTTAGGGTTTAGGCTTTGGGGTTAAACGATCTGCTGGTCTCCAGTCCAGCTTGCCCGAGTTTAGGGACAGGGCCGTTGAACGCCTAGTAACCTTATTAGGCAGTGCCCCCCATGCTTTTGCAGCTTGAAGCACCCAAAAATACGAGTTTGGATAAATTCAGGCGATGACGATGCTGATGATGATGGTGCTGGCCAGATGCTCGTGAGGGGATCCGGATGAAGATGGTGAGAATGAAGGATGAAGCCTTGTAGTAATAAGGATCGTGCTGACGATAATGACAGTGTTGCTACAGATGATGAGGACGACGAGGGCCATGATGATCCTCACAGCGCGGCCCCAACCCCGCCCGCCTGAAATCATCTCTTGGTTCCTGCCCTCCGTATAGGCATACGTATTCGGACCCATGAAGCTCATGAACCTCGACATGCTGTTGATGATATAAATCCTGCATTACCTTAAGGACCCTAAGCTATGGGAATTCTGGTATACTCCTCATTGTGGGTACTAGAGGATCTATATCATCAACCGTAATTATGACAGAACGCGTCCCTCAAAACCGAGCTCCTTAAGTAGATGGCACCTTGCAGCCGAACTTGTGGCCATGATTGCAATGAAAAGCTTGTGGTCAAGGCTGTATCAGATAACAGATACCATATATAGTTTAGGGTTTAGGGTATGAGCTTCAAGTTTAAGTTCAGTGCTTTTGCCCCGAGCCACGTGCGAAACTCGCACATGATAGAGGCCCGGAGCCTTTCGTTGAACTTCAAAACTGCGATTCAGCGGATGAAGGTTTAGGGTTTAGGGGTGTAGGGGTTTAGGGGTCTAGGGTTTAGGGTTTAAAATAGGGGTTTAGGGGTCTAGGGTTTAGGGGTTAAAGTAGGGGTTTAGGGGTCTAGGGTTTAGGGGTTAAAGTAGGAGTTTAGGGGTCTAGGGTTTAGGGTTTAAAGTAGCGGTTTAGGGGTTTAGGGTCGGGTTTAGTTGTAAGCACAAGCATTTTATAGGGATATCCCTACCCCATTGGGCTTCATTACAAGGGGGTTTATGCGGGATATCCCTGTCCCAATTTTTGCATATGTTTTTATGCGTGGCCGTACTTTTGTTCAGACTTCGGGAGGGGGTGCGTAATTCACGTTCGCCGAGTTGGTCAAAGAAAGGCCTACAATCATGGCTTCTATGGTGCGGAGCAAGATGAGGCCCGAGGTTTAGGGTTTAGGATTTAGGGACTAGGATTTAAGGTTTCGGTTTCAGGGTTTAAGGTTTAGGGTTTAGACTTAGCAATGGAATAGGTAATCTTGATGCCAGCACGAAAAGATTAATTGAACTCAGCGCTTGGCCTCAGGAGTTCACAGCCTTCAGGGCTTGGGAGGTGTGAGATTTCGGGAACCCTAAACGCGAAACCCCAAAATGCCAAGCCCAAAAAATCCAAGAGCCCAGACCTTAAAGCCCTGAGACACTAAACCCGGAAACCCCAAGCCGTGCCGAGCTACCTAAATCCTGACATTCAGAGATCGTCAGGGCCTGTGAATAGCGCAGGGCTTGGAAGGCTTCGAAGAGAGGGCTTTATAGGGTTTACCTGGACCTAAAAGAACCTTCCTTTTTAGAGTTCCTTATCATCTTTATATAAGTCCTCAAAAAGGTAGGTTATTTAGGGTTAGGGTTTACAGGGTGTTATGGGGTTTAATTAGAGGTCTGAATGGTTGGGAGTAGCAACCGTGGAGTGTCTATATAGTACTCAGAATGAACCGCAAGCTCGGTTCGAGAGATAGAGGCCCCAACTTCGCTCTTCTAGGATTCCCACCGTTCTACGAGTAATATAGCGGCATTAGTAATTAACTATACTATGTTGGTGGTTCTGATAAGTATAGTATAATATACACCAAAACCCTATTCTAATTATTATAGCCAGGACATTAGGGGTTGCTGAGGATGCATGATTGCAGACGAGGGCTTGAACATCTTTTTCAGCCGTGCTCACATGGGAAAGGATGGCAAAATAACAACCGTAGAAGCATGGCTACTTGCACTACTGCAACCAGAATTTGTAGTTCTTTGCACCAACGGATTCCTTCTGGAGTAAGCCATGCCATGGTGGAAGTGGCCAGATGAGCTTGTGATAATGGTTCGCACCAGTGGCAAAACAATGCTAGCACTCACCATGCGTTGGTGATGACGGCTAGGTAGCAGCAGCAACAGTAACAGCAACCAGAACGCTCAAAGTCGTAGTACTTCGCATAGTCCGCATAGTCGTTGCCATCATATTGGAGCTTGATCTTTGGACTTGTCCCAACCGTCATTGTTTCCCTCCTCCTCAGCGTGTTCATCATGTTCACCTAGGTCATTGTTGTCGTGGCCTTGACCAGCAATGATACCAGCATCAGCACCGTCGTATCCGTCGTCTAAACCCGAAACCCTAAACCCCTAGACCCCTAAAACCCTAAACCCTAAAACCCTAAACCCTAATATCCTAAACCCTAAAACCTCGCTTTCACCGGCACCACCTCTCCTCATCTTCATTGCCTTTTCTCTCCAACCACAACCCTCAACCAAAAAAAGGCACCAGCACCAGGCTTGGTAGCCGCAGCCCTCGTCCAACCGTCGGTTCCCAACTTCCAAATGGGTAGTTCTCTAAATTAGGGTCCCTTTGGGGGTCCCTTTTTTAAGGGTGCCGTACTAAACCCTAAACCCTAAACCCTAAAACCCTAAACTCTAAACCCTAAAACTCTAAACTCTAAACCCAAAATCGGGACGCTATTTTAGAGAACTACCCAAATGGTAGAAGTCGACCCCAAGAGTTGTAAACATCCTAAGCATGCACATCTTTGCTATACTGTAGGGGCCTAAGTAATTACCCATAGTATTTTTTGGAGGGTTCATTATTATGATTATAGTATCATGGGCCCCCAAACCCTATTGAAATTATGAAGGCCCCTATATTGCAAGCATTAAGGCTCCTATATTGCAAGCATTAAGGCCCCTATATTGCAAGATTTAAGGCCCCTATATTGCAAGCTTGCTTCTGGACAGGCCGCTCCAGAGCACTTCAGGTATCATGGAGCAACTCGGATCGTGATGACTCACAGGGGTTGGTACTTGGAGGGTCGTGGGAGTTAACAAGCAGGTAGTATGTGGGTGGTTGGGAGAATTATGGTCCCTTTTTGGGTCCTTATTATAATACGGCACCCATTATTTAGGGTACCCCAAAAAAGACCATAATTTTGACAACTACCCATGTCGAGTTACAATGTACCCTAACAGGGTACTTAATTGGGGTTAGTATACTTACACTTACAACTTGCAACTCTTAAACATATCTGCCTACTACATCCCCCGACCCTCCCAGTGTGGTGTAGTGATGTCAGGCGTGGGGAGCTTTTGGTACTCTATAAAGCACCTGCTTGCTAAATTGATGCCATGATACTTCCAATTACCCTAAACCCTAAACCCTAAACCTCCGCTTACTACATCCCCCGGCCCTGGAAGCACAGTCTTTCTGGGCTTCGCCGTTTTTGCCCCTCAGGTAGTTCTCTAGGTTAAGGTTTAGGGTAGATGGGTAGTTCTCTAAATTAGGGTTTTGGGTTTAGGGTAGATGGGTAGTTCTCTAAATTTGGGTTTAGGGTCAAGGTTTTAGGGTTTAGGGTTTAGGGTAGATGGGTAGTTCTCTAAATCAGGGTCCCTTTTGAGGTACCCAGTATAGTACGGCACTCTTATGAAGGGGATCCTAACCTGACCCGAGTTTATCCGAAATGCATACAAACACTTGGAGGCCCAGGGGACTTAGTTATAAGTAGAATTATAAGTACCCTAACTGTAGTTACCCCAATTACAACCCTACTTATGGCCGACTTACTAAGTCCCCTGGGCCTCCAAGTAGACCCTAAACCCTAAACCCTAAACCCTAAACCCTAAACCCCAAACCCTAAATAGAACCCTTATAGTACTAAGTCCCCTGGGCCTCCAAGCAGGGCGCACGCCGGGCCAGACCCAGAGCCGAAGGTCCGGAGACAATGGCCGCAAGGCCCCGGACGAGACAATGAGAATAGGGTTTAGGGTTTAGGGTTTAGGGTTTAGGGCTTAGGGTTTAGGGTTTAGGGTTTAGGGTTTAGGGTTTAGGGCTTAATGAGACCATGAGACAACGGCCCCAGGAGGCAGTTATCTCATTGTTTCAGGTGTCTCGCGTTTCTGCGAGAGGACTGCAGGGCTCCGGGAAGGAGTTCGTCCACGGCGAGCAGAACTACGGGGTGCAGCTTCTGGACGACTACGTGGCGCAGCAGAGCCGACACGTGGCCGCGAAGGACGCGGCCTCGCCACACCACGCGAGGACTGGCGGGAAGCGGCTGGCCTGGGCTAGCAAAGTGCCTGAGCACTTTTTGTTGGCAGACGACTTCATCAAACCCTTCCGTGATATGGAGGGGGCTCCAGTCTCCGAGAGCCAAAGAACTTCATGTCCACGGCCCTGCTAGTGGCAAACCCTCACCGATACTTGGTGCTCTTCGGGCTGGCTCTTGGGACTTTAACTTTTTTTTGGGTTTTCTATATGAAATATACTGAGGAGACCATCAGTTCAACAGTTTGGCGAGTTCAGAAGTCAGTCAAGATACTGTTGACGATATAAATCCTGCATTACCTTAAGGACCCTAAAGTATAGGAATCATGGTGCATTCCTTATTATGGATACTGCAGGGTTTATATCATCAACCGTACGACATCCTAAACCCTAAACCCTAAACCTTAAACCTTAAACCCCTAAACCCTAAAACGCTAAACCCCTAAAACGTGAACCCTTATACCGCTACAATCTAGACCATCGCCTGTCTCTATACCCTATACCCTGAACACCATCACCTGATCTAGGGTTTAGGGTTTAGGGTCCTATACTATTTTGGGGGACTCCTTGTTATAGTTATAGTATAACATGGCCCCAAAACCCTATGCTAACCAAAAAGGCCCCTCTACATTATTCCTTGTCCTAGGTCCTTGTTCCCAAGAAAGATGAATCATGCTCATGTTTGATATAGCCCCAACAGGCTACATGGACTGTTGTATCTAAAACCTGAAGCCCTAAACCCTAAACCCGCGAATTCCAAAGCATCTTCTCCATGGCCGAGGCCTTCGGACATGGCTTCGATGATGCATCCATGTCGCAGGTCGGGGTAACATAGAGGCTTAAATAACTACCGGCCTAAATAACTATTTTTTGGGGGTTCCTTATTATCATTATCGTATAATATACCCAAACCCTAAACCCTAAACCCTAAACCTGAAGGGTTCCTGAGTATCTTTATAGTGTAATAAGCCCCATAACCTTAAACCCTAAACCCCATACCCCAAAATCCGATTCTAAAAAAATAAGGCCCCGATAGTATCATGCTTGGGATTCCGGGCCTGAGAGGGCTTGACTCAGGGTATAGGGCTTAGGGTTTAGGGCTTTCAGGGCTTGGGGTTTAGGGTTTAGGGCTTCGGGTTTAGGGTTTAGGGCTTTGGGTTTGGGGTTTAGGGCTGTTTAGCCTTCTTTCTGTAGGACTTCTGAAGAAGCTTTGGGGGGACGAGAGTGGCACTTGAGTGGTCCTTTTGCTTGTTCACTTCGGATGCTGGCTTCGTAGTACTGGAAGGGCTAGGATTCATTGAGAGGAGAGGTCCTCGCATTTTGTACTGCTACTGTTGATGATATAAATCCTGCACTACCGTAAGGGCCCTAAACTATGGGGGATGGTTTAGTCCTTATTCTGGGTAATGCAGGGTTTACATCATCAAACGTATCACTAAAGTTTTAGGGTTTAGGGCACTAAAGGGCCTTTTCTAAGTATTGAAGTCCCTATATACTAGCACCCTAAGCCGCAAACCGCCTACGTTGCCTCAGAGGCCCACCCATGGAAAGTGGTCATTTCACAGGTCTGTTATCGTTCAGGTTTATTGCCTGCTGACTTGTGTTGGCAGCCAGCCCTTAATTTTATATCGGTCGGATGAGTTCCTGTATGATTACTTACTCTTATGGCAGCTACAGTAAGTACAACAGACCCCGAAACCCTTTTCCCAACGACGCCCAGAACGTTTATAGAGCCCCTACCATGAGAACTGTTCAAGGAACCTGAAACCCAAACCCCCGGGAAGGATCCAAAAAGTAGATCCCTTAATGGGGGTCCTATAAAGTATCCTGTAGTAGTTAGTGTCCCAAATTAGGGCATCTACTTTTTAGATCCTCCCGGGATTCTGGGAAAGGAAGCCTAGTCGGATGGTCGACGCCCCTATATCAGCTCTCCAGATTGCTGTCCCGGAACACGAGACTGCTGGTGGTTAGGCGACAATTCAGATGAGATGGAGCGAGCTGCAGCACATCCTCACCAGGAGCTATCCTTGCAGAGGTCAGCGCCTATCGCCATCGGGAACATAGCGGCTGGACTGCTGCTGACATCCGCCACTGGAGCGCAGTCCTCCTCGCAGGTCAGCCCGGATCTGCGAGGGCTGCGTTCGTTCCGCTTTTGCAACTACTGTACATGCGAAGCGCCCCTAAACCCTAAACCCTAAACCCTAAACCCCTAAACCCTAAACCTGTCAGCGCAGGGAGTTGAAGCTAAGGCCTCTGCTGGGCTTTCTTGGAAGACCCTAAGGGTCCAAAGAACCCAATAATTAGGTACTTTGCTTACGGAAAGTAGTTATCCAGGCTAATATTTGGGAGAGTATATGATCATTAGACACTTGGACCCTTAGGGAGATAGTTTGGAACTGGGGTTGTCAGGTTAGTTTGGGCTTCTGCTGAAGTGGTTCTGAGGACGTCTGGTATAGCCTACTTTTTGTAAGATCCCCACATTACCTATATAGGTGTAGCATCTGTATGGGCTTTCAGGAATTATTGAGGCTCAGTAAAGACCAACAAAGCAAGGTAATTACTCCAACTCCTTGTAAAACCTTTGTAAACCCTTGTAAAGCTGTGCAAGACTCTTATACGCCACATAACAGAGCACTGGAGCATCGCTCTTATACATTTATGTAACTTATGTAGGGTTTGTGGCTTGGGGTCTATAGGCTTTAAAGGGTTTTGTTCTTAGGGTAAACCCTAAACCCTAAGCATGAAATCCTTAACCCTACACCCCGAAGCCCCATAACCCCTTTAAAGGAACCCCATGGATCCCTTTCAGGCACCCTCTAATAAACCCTAAGCCCCTCCCCATCCTAAGTTGTGCCTTGGCATTGGTAGGCCGCGGCCTCCCAGTCGAGACACAGCAGATCTGGAGCAAATCGGCTATGAACGCTCTTGGTTTAGGGTTGAGGGTTTAGTTTAGGGTTTAGGGTTCTTGTCGGGTCTTATTGTAAGGCTTTAATGGCTTGATGTACAAAGGGTTATCGGTTCGTAATGCGCAAAATGCATAAAGGTTTGATAATCAGTTTAACAGAGTTCAACCTTAGCTTAAGGGCCCTTGATTATAGGGCCCTACTAGAAGTGAAGACTATCCTTTAACTTCCTTAGCAAATGGACACCCTTCTTAAACCCTAAACCCTAAGCCCAAGAGGTTGAGAGCCAGGGCAAAGAGATCAGTTGTCATACTGTTGATGATATAAATCCTGCCTTACCCTAAGGACCCTAAACTACGGGAATTGTGCTATACTCCTTATGTGTAATGCAGGATTTGTATCATCAACCGTACACAAGGGTTCGGATAGGCTTCTCTACAGGTTCTATCAGGGTTTTACGGGGGTTTAGGGTTGGGTTGCAGAAGAAGGGTCTGAGGAAGAGAATGTGCCTTTCTACCCCTATGCTGTGATTATGCAATAGTCAGATGACCCTGCAGTTCCAGCCTTGCGTGATGACAGGAATCTGGGGTTTCGGGTTTTAGGGTTTAGGCGTTTATTGTTTAGGGTCTTAGGGTCTTAGGGTTTTGGGGTTTAAGGTTCAGTGGTTCAGGGAGTAGCATCACGAGTATTCCACCTTGAACATCAGGAAACGAAACCAACATTACCAGCAATCCCAGTGGTGGTTGAATCCTTTGCGCCAGCAGCACTGCGAATATCAACAAAGGACAACGCACTTTCCCAAACACTACAACCCCAACACCCTACACCCTGAACCCTAAACCCTAAAGCCTGAACCCTAAACCCTGAACCCTAAACCCTAAAACCCTTACAACCCCAACACCCTAAACCCTAATCCCTAAAGCCCCCGGATATCCAACCCTGAAGTCTAAAACCCTATACCGTACTTATAAGTAGGGTTATAAGTAGGGTAACTATATTTATAACCCATATTAGGGGACTTATAACCCCACTTATAGCTAGCCATGAACCTCGAAGTACTGTTGATGATATAAATCCTGCATCACCGTAAGGACCCTAAACTATGGGAATTACGGTATATTCCCGATTATGGGTACTGCAGGATTTATATCATCAACCGTAGGACCCCCGAATCCAGAAGTCTGAGTTTCAGGCCTTCAGCCATAGCCGCACCCAGCTCGGAGCTCTCAAGGCCGCGTCCTCCCTTGCAGGGTTTCAAGGGTTTAAGCTAAGGGTTTAGGGCGTAAGGTTCAGTTCAGGGTTTAGGGTTTAGTTTTAAGTGATTAGGGTTGTAAGTGGGGTTAGAAGTAGGGCCTTTAATATTAAGGGTTATCTAGGGTTTAGGGGTTAGGCTTTGCGAGTTCAGCTCTTGGAGCTTTGGGCAGTGATAAGTGGGGTCAGAAGACAGCTAATATGGGTCATTTTTATGGAAGCCCTACTTATAACAGCACTTCTAACTACCCATGCACCTCCAAGCAACACTGATGAGCCCTGAACCCTAAACCGAACCTCGACTGGGTTGATGTTGGAATCTAATGGCCTGCTTTTTTAACAGATTTGGGCATTAGGGAGTCATACGATTAGGGTTTTGGGGTGTGATAAGGTATACTTATTACAAGGAGCCCTGCGGAAAAGCATAACTAGTTCTTCGGGCTTCTATCTTGGTAATATTTTCCCTAGGTCTTCTTAATACATCATGCTTTACGCCTCTCAGGAGTTGCTTTAAGGGCTCCTTTAGAAAGGTTCCGTTTATGGCTTCCTTCAAGGGGTTCCTTTACTGGCTCAGCGGCCGTTGTGGGCCTGGGTACTGGACTGTGAACTCTCGACGAAAATTTGCATGATTTGTGTTTCATCTTTACTGTTGTAATGAAATGACCTTCAGAGGAAATACTAACGGTATTGCATATTTTACGGGCATAAAGCTGTAAGGGTTGCGGGGCACTGGTCTCACGTATAAGCCCAAATCCTCAAAACCGTCTCTCCTGACACTTCAGGAGTTTGAAACCCTAAACCCTAAACCCTAATTATCCATCAACGGCAGCGCCAAGCTCCCGCACATCTCGAAACAAACGGTGCCAGGTAGTGATCGGGAGCAGTCTCAAGGAGAATGTGAAGTGTGTGGATCCACCAGGACCTGGGTTGTAGGGCATTGTAGGGTTTAGGGTTTAGGGTTTTTTGTTAACGAACTGAACTTAAGTTACCATAAATTAGGATAGTATGTTCTTTACTATAGATCACAGCTATGGTAACTTTAGTTAGGCTCTTGTCAGGATCCGCCAGGACAGCCGAGAGGTCAGAGCTCAAAGAAGTAAGGGCGCCTAAGATGCTTGACTGGGGTCTTCGGAGGCCTCAAAAGGTGGGATGAAGGTAGGAAGGATT